CACACAAACCTAGTATAATCGACTTTGTAGGCGGCCGCATCCTCTTTCTGCGCCCTCTGACGGAACTGTGATGGGGTCTCCAGCTTCCAGTAGTTCAGACAGAGCAGAAACATCTTACTGAGCTCATACATGGTCTGCCTCTCCTTAGAAGCCAAATGACTGAACTTATACTGGACAAAGTTCAGCACCCCCTGAGAGAGAGAGAGACAGACAGAGAGAGAGCATCTTGAGTGCAGAACAACTCACACAACAATAATGACCTACATTAGAAGACAAATGTCCCACCCTTCTTCTCACCCATAAAGGCATTTTTTACATGGATTGTGACTGGCAGAAAACTTTTTGCCACCTTTCTTATACACAACACACACGTACTTGTTCTATGTTGGGTTTTTCAAAGGGAGGGCTACCGAGAGAGCCTTCCACCACTGGCTTCCCCATCTGCAGAATACACTTCCTCAGCAACTAAGAAAAGAAACAAGCAGTCAAACACACAGGCAAAAATGTGAAATATTCAGCTGACAGATAAACAAAAACATCTTAGAGGCTTTTTTAACATATTAGTAATTCATCTTGGGTGTGTTTGTACTTTTAAAAGAATTAATGAAGCAGATCACATCTGCCTGTTTACCTTGAACAGATAAAAGTAGACTTGCTTGGTATCCGTGTCTTCTTCTTTATGGACAGACATGAAGAGATTCTCCACGTCCACCACCATCCCCAACAACCGGTTAATCTCCTCCTCAGACACGTTCTCCAGGTGAGACACATGCTCCGCTATAGAAAAACACACAAGATAATGTAAACAACAATAATGATGCATTATATGAAGTAAAATACACAGTTAACATATAGCAGCCTGTATATCCACAAAGGTTGTATTTACGCTGCTTATTTCTGGTTTGCAAAACATATTTTATAAATTGTCCATTTAGGGTGATAATGGCTACACTTGACTTTATTATTTTTGTGCTTTTGCATATTTATTAATTAGACCATGTCCATTGTTCACACTTCGCTGTGTTTAAAGTATTTTCAAATACTTTGCTTAAATCACAGTTTGTAATGTGTAAGTTCACCTCATAGCTGGATGGCTTGGTTCATGGTTTATAACTCTGAAACGAAAACTTTTCAAACCCCTATGGGAAATATTCATCCAGAAGCAAGGCAACTGGAAAAAGTGGCTGGCCACTGTTGCACAATATCATGCTGGACCAGCTTATTTGGATGATACCAAGTAGAGTCATGGGTCTGATATGGTGTGATGTAATAAAACCGACAAAGAGGCATTCATCTTACCCAACGAGTGTCCACAGCTTCGGCAGGCCTCCGTCAGACTGGCTGCCTGCTGCTGGAGCTCCATACCAGCAGCTGTCGGAGGATTGGGGTTTTTCCATCCATTACATTTGCAAGCATCATTCGCCTGTAATATAAGAGAACACAGCTATGATTTAAAGAACTGTCAATGAGGACAGTAAAAATCAGGTTCATCAGGTAAATACTGACAAAACATTTTGATTTATAATAATGCAGTGGTGATAACACGACAATAAAATGAGATATATTGAAAATGTCGAATGTATGGTGCATGTTTTAAAAACATACATAATAAATGCATTTAATTAACCACCATAGGCTAATTTCACACTATATAAAAGCTGGTATAAAACATATTAAGCTACCCATTTTAAAAGCATTTTTCAGAAATGCGATTCATTTTTCATTCTTTAGTCCATATAGAAGTTTTCAGTCTTGTGTTTTTATTTTCCAACCTTAAATCACCTTTAGGCTTTAATACTTCATGAAGATAAGTTTAGATTTGTATTGGTACTAGGACACATGCGTGACTAGTTTGCAGGCTGTTACTGAAGCAGTGACACATGACAGGCCCGGGCACTCGCTCTATTGTTATGAGCCGAGCTCTCGGTTACCTTGCAGGAGGAAAACACTCCGAGTTTCTCCAGTTTTTTAGCCCGCGGAAACGAGCGGACTTGGGCTTTCTTCTGGCTGGACCACTGCTGCTGACTCAGGCCTGGTCGGGCCGGGTCGCTGCTCCCGGCACCGGGGTGCGGGGTGGATCCTGCCGGGCCGCTGGACTGAGCTTGCTGAAGCCGGGGCTGCACGGAGGTCTGTGCAGCCGGGTCCGCCATATCAGCAGCCTTCAATTCCTATCCTAGGATCGCCGCGCTCACTTCCACCCTGTTCCGCTTCAATAAAGTTTTGTGATGGTTTTCGATACGCGTTCTGACCACTGCACTGCGCATGCGCACTATAGGAGGTTGCTGGGAAATGGAGTATTAGGCTATAGGCAGTACTACAGAATTAAACGTTACAATACTTTCCACTGGGGGGCATTAAAAACACTGTGACTTGAGCTACTTATTATTGCAATATATCACTTGAAAAGAGCAAATGAAGCCTATTTATTAAACTTATATTTATCTAAACTTATTTATATTTAGTAGCAAAATGCATTTTTGGTATTTTGCTAAAATGTCAGTCAGCTAACACATTAGCTGGACTGATTTTTTTTTTTTTTAATAAATGTTTAAAAAAATACCATAAGACATTTTGCTACTAAATATAAATAGGTTTCTACACATTTATGATTAGGGATGGAAATCTTAAGAAACAATTCCGTTTCAGTTATTCTGCATTTACTAACCTGTTTCTAAACGCAACAGAAAACACCTTTTTATGTTCACTCTCGTTTTAATATTTTCAAATCTCTGAATCTTAAACATTGGCCTCACGTAGTGTATATATTTAACGAAATATAAACAAAATGTATTTAGATAAAATATCACTAACAACAAAACTAATTTGCATTTAGAACTACCAGTCAGAACCTACATGGTCTCAAGAGCCTTAAAGGTGCACTCAGCAATGTTTCTCCTTGTTAAAAAGTTTTACTCCTAAATAAATGCATAGTAATTTTGAAACAGTAGTATAAAATCAAGAACACATCATAATAATAGTCCAATCAAACCTGTTACCTTATAAAAGCTGTTTTATTGAACATGGAGAGGGTCCCTCAGGGGGGCTGCCATGTTAAGATCACATGACCAGCCAAATACTATTTGCCTAATCTGAGTAACCACCCTGTTATTGGACACTTTCACTCATGGATGAACTTAATCATGATTGACTGTGAACAGTGATTTTATACAATAGCATCAGTAACTCAACACAACTGCCAGCACAACATAAACATAATAGTACTGAATACACCATTACTTACTATGCTCCCTCCACAGCAGCAAAAGATGCACATTCGAGAATCATTAACGAAAACGAGCACCTTTTAAATCCATTTAGTAACTGTGAATAATTAAAAAACAGTTCTCCATTCCCAACCATATTTAGAACAGGAATAAAAAAAAATAATAAAAAAAACTCCAAATCACCACCTACTTTTAGAAATAACAACACAACAAACAGAATGTATACCTTCCCCTCCTTTATTGGTAAAATTACAAGCTCTATTAGGTTTGTGTTTTTCCATTTATTTGTTTTTGTCCATTGCCTCCCTTGTTCCTCAGACCTTGCTTGAGACGTCTGGGTCACCGTTCACATTTGTTGTGCTAGGTTACAATTGATGCTGAAAATGTGGGTCAAAAGAGACATCCTGCGACATTAAACAGAAGGGAACAATATTGACAGAAAATGACATGTTGTCAGAGGACAAAGAAATACCCAGTGCACTCTAAGAGACCATAAGTAAAAAAAACAAGTAAATTCTTACAAAGGTGCTGAATTTAAATGGTTAATGATTGGGGTCATATTCACAGGAAAAAAAAAAAAAAAAAAAAAAACAAGAGTACAAAAACAGCAACATTATCTTCTTTTTTCCCCTCGTAAATATTTGTAATATTTATTTTGGTCAGAGGAGGCTGATTTTGCCTTGTGTCATTTATATGTATTTTTTCCAAGTCTGATTTCAAAAACATTTCATTAATGCAAAGGGGAAAAAAAACAACACCAAATTGGAGTTATACCACCTCTTAATGCATTTAGATATACAAGTAAATACATGCAAACGATTAGAAAAGAAGTCTAGCCTATCAAATCATATACTGGTTTCATTTGTGCTGGAGTAGTGGATGTCTGAGAGACTAATACAATAGAAATAATACAGGATCTACAGAACAGCCTGACATAGATGGAAAATAGCCTGTTTTCTCAATCTCCGATCTTTCCTCTCTCCGACAAAGGAGGCATGTGATCAAGGAGAGCAGGAGAAAGATGAGGTGTAACTCAATACTGGCAGTATGCATCCACCAAAAGGGAGAGCGAGTCTGAATAGTGGCATCGCCACTAAATTTTTCATTCAAACGAGCAAATGAGGATAAGGAAATACAAAGGAGAGACAACTTGTTTTTCCACCAGCAGCAGTCTGGAATTTCTTTTGTCTAAAGTGTGATTGGTTAGATCTGATCACGTTTGTCTCCTTTTGCTTTGTCAAACTCTACACAAGACAAATCGAATAACTTTGAAAACCATAGATGGCAGAGACATGTCGTAGCTTGTGTTTGTATATGAATGTGCATGTACTGTTTTTGGGAGGAATAACTGGTCGAAACATTAACGTGTTGATTTACAAGGGTATCAATGGCCAGTTTCCAGTTCTGAAGCTGTATGGTACAGTCTAACTGGCCATAGTTTAGAGCTGGGTCATAAGTGAATGGATCTCACACTATGGATTCATACTGTGTTTGTGCATTAAATTGATCAAAGGTGACAGATCAAAAGTAACATTACAATAGATTCAAATAAATGCTATTCTTTTTAAACCTGGAAAAAAAATCTATCATGGTTTCCACAAAAATATTAAGAAGCACAACTGTTTTCAACATAATAATAATAACTTTAAAATAATAATATTAACTTAAAAAAAATAAGAGGAAATGTTTCTTGGGCAGCAAATCAGCTTATTAGAATGATTTCTGAAGAATCATGTGACACTGAAGACTGGAGTAATGATGCTGAAAATAGATGTCTGAGAGACTAATACAATAGAAATAATACAGGATCTACAGAACAGCCTGACATAGATGGAAAATAGCCTGTTTTCTCAATCTCCGATCTTTCCTCTCTCCGACAAAGGAGGCATGTGATCAAGGAGAGCAGGAGAAAGATGAGGTGTAACTCAATACTGGCAGTATGCATCCACCAAAAGGGAGAGCGAGTCTGAATAGTGGCATCGCCACTAAATTTTTCATTCAAACGAGCAAATGAGGATAAGGAAATACAAAGGAGAGACAACTTGTTTTTCCACCAGCAGCAGTCTGGAATTTCTTTTGTCTAAAGTGTGATTGGTTAGATCTGATCACGTTTGTCTCCTTTTGCTTTGTCAAACTCTACACAAGACAAATCGAATAACTTTGAAAACCATAGATGGCAGAGACATGTCGTAGCTTGTGTTTGTATATGAATGTGCATGTACTGTTTTTGGGAGGAATAACTGGTCGAAACATTAACGTGTTGATTTACAAGGGTATCAATGGCCAGTTTCCAGTTCTGAAGCTGTATGGTACAGTCTAACTGGCCATAGTTTAGAGCTGGGTCATAAGTGAATGGATCTCACACTATGGATTCATACTGTGTTTGTGTGTCTGTATCAGTCCTTGGGTGCATCTGCCAGCTGATTGGTCCGATGGTTAGTTGCCGCCTCCACAGCAGTGGCCACTTCTGCCCTGAGGTGCTGTCTCCTGTAAGTCGACCCCTCCTCTGGCCCGTCCGCCACTCCCTGCTCCACCCTGCGGTTCGTTCTTCGGAAGCTTCTTGGCTAAAGAGAAAGATTGAGAAGGAAAATTTCTTCATAAACGTACTAGGTTGATTTGATCTGAATAAAATCGCTATCAGTATTTGAACGACTAGGCGTGGTGTCTGGTTGAGCGTTTTTGCGGCAGGTGAAACTGGTGTCATGTTGCTGTGTTTTGCTCCAGGCTTGAAGAGAGTCAGTAAGAGAAATGAGATCGTACCGATAGCCATGAAGATCTCGTTCACGTTCATGGCGGTCTTTGCAGACGTCTCCATGAAGAGTAGGCTGTTGTCGTCTGCGTATGCCTGCGCCTCCTAAAGAAAGCATGTGGATGTGTTAAAAGCATATCAGAAGTAGATTCACACAGATTGTTTTGCGTTCATATAAACATACCTCAAAGTCAACAGCTCTCTTGTTGGCCAGGTCTGCCTTGTTGGCAGCCAGAGCAATAACGATATTTGGACTCGCCTGACGCTGCAACTCCTTCACCCAGTTCTTTGCTCTAGTGAATGTGTCCTAAGAGTGCAAAGAAAAACAGCAGAGAAGTAACTGTTAAACAAAGGAAAAAACAAATGAATGAAAAGATAAGGACTAGAACTTGTTTAAAATCATGAGTAAAGGGCTGTCAATTTAATGTGTTGATTTAGTACAACTCATTTTTTGAAGAAATTAACATATAATATATATATTATAGTATATATAGCATATAAAGCATTAATTTCTTTAAAATGTTACATATATATATATATATATATATATATATATATATATATAAAATATTCTATTCTTTTTAAACCTGGAAAAAAAATCTATCATGGTTTCCACAAAAATATTAAGAAGCACAACTGTTTTCAACATAATAATAATAACTTTAAAATAATAATATTAACTTAAAAAAAATAAGAGGAAATGTTTCTTGGGCAGCAAATCAGCTTATTAGAATGATTTCTGAAGAATCATGTGACACTGAAGACTGGAGTAATGATGCTGAAAATACAGCTTTGGCATCATATATTTTTAATTAACTGATATTGCAATTTATTTACTAAAAACACATACATAAGCATGTTTTTTTTTATATAAAAGACTTAAAAATATTTTACATATTTACAAATAAAACACTGTATTTTAAAACAATCACACATTCATATAAATTAGCTTAAGGTTGCCAACAGGAGTTGCATTGCCACTGTGACTTGCTTGACTTTGAGCAAAGGTCTGACTGTATCCTATAGAATAATAATTAACCCCAGCAGTCAGTCAGGTGAAACCTTATTATTCAGACCTTACCCTTCTGCTGAGCACAACGGCGTGATGTCAGCCTTTATTAGAGCCAATGCATGACTGGCAAAGTCACATTGCAGCTGAGGTGCCATGTAACCCTCAGGTGAATGATTGGCTGTATAAGACTGATCCAACTTAGACTTAAAGGTTTTGATTTCACAGTCACAGGCACTTACTGTGTTAGTAATGTCATAGACGACAATGGCTGCCTGGGCTCCTCTGTAGTACATAGGGGCCAGGCTATGATATCGCTCCTGTCCGGCTGTGTCCCAAATCTCAAACTTTACTGTTGTATCATCCAGGCAGACTGTCTGTGTGAGGAAAGCAGCTAGAAAGGAAAGAGAAACAGAAAGGTTTTTGACATGAAGCCAAAGTGTTTCTACGGAAGTCCTAAGAGGCCATGGATTATGAATATTTTTCTTTCTTGTTTTCTCGTGATCACGACTTAATTTTCTTGTGATGTCGACATAACGAAAGTTGTTTTCCCGTTATCACGACTTAATATTTTCTTGTGATCTCGACATAACGAAAGTTGTTTTCTAGTGATCTCGACATGACAAAAGTTGTTTTTTTTACAATGATTGTTTGATCTACTGTTGCTATAGTAATGAACACAACTTTGACCGCGCATCTGATCGACAGATAAACGCTCTTGCTCTTGTGTGCTCTTGCTGTATGTTGTGGATATTTCAGCAAATTTTGCTTTGCTTAGTAATAACATCTACAATACATAAATAAAGGCTAATCAATCACTGTTGATTTTTTTTCCCCAGAGACGGCATGCTAAACATTTTGTTTGTGTAATTAACATGTTTAAATGGTCAAAGCAACACTGCAAACACAGGCAGAGCAACTTCAGAAGGATGCAGAACTACACACATGGTCAGAATTGTTGGTACCCTTGGTACCCTTGTTGGTACCCAGTGAAAATAAATCTGCATTGTTAATCCTTTTGATCTTTTATTTTTTTTTTAAATCACAAAAATCTAACCTTTCATTGGAGAATAAGATTTAATCAGTTAGATAATAATTTATCTAAAAAAATATCATTATGAAATAAATGTTTTTCTTTAATACACATTGGACACAATTACTGGTACCCCTAGAAATTCTTATGAGTAAAATATATGTGAAATATATTCCCATTCATATTCACAATTTTGAGCACACCAGGGTGATTATGAACATGAAATTATCCAGCCATGGCTTCCTGTTTCACAGAAATATAAATAGGAGTGAAAACAAAGGCCAAATGTGCAGCAAAAGATAACTGAGCTTCACAAATTAGAAAGTGGCTTTAAGAAAAGAGCTAGAGCAGTGAAAATTCCCATTTCCACCATCAGGGCAATCATTAAGAAGTTCCAATCAACAGAAAATATTATGAATCTGCCTGGAAGAGGACGTGTGTCTATTATCGTCCTAATGCACGGTGAGAAGGAGAGTTTGAGTGGCCAAAGACTCTCCAAGGACCACAGCTAGAGAATTGCAGAAAAAGGTTGAGTTTCAGGGTCAGAAAACCTTTAAAAAATTACCTCCAGCACATTCAGTTGCCAGACACGACTGGAACTTCAAACGGGACTGGCGTTTGAAGTTCCAATGGTGAGATGTAACTAAAAAATTAGCTTTTTAGCAGTAAACCCTCAAGAAATATGCTGCTGTATTTTTAATGTTGTGGGCCAATATTTCTGCTGGAGGTCCTGGACATCTTGTTTAGATACATGGCATCATTGATTCTATCAAATACCAACAGATAAAAAAAATCAAAAAGTGACTGACTCTGTTAGAAATCTTATAATGGATCTGGAGTGATTCTGGATGAAGGAATGGTCTCTGATCTCGTCAGGTGTCCTCTAACCTCATCAGGCATTATAGGAGAAAACCCCTACACTATTTTGGCAAATGGAGGTTTCAAAACGTATTGAATAAAAGGGTACGGTTAATTGTGTCCAATGTGTATTAGAGAAAAACATTTATTTCATAATGATATTTCCCCCCCATTTTAAAGGGGTCATATGATGTTGCTAAAAAGAACATTATTTTGTGTATTTGGTGTAATTAAATGTTTATGCTGTTTAAGGTTAAAAAAAACACATTATTTTCCACATACTGTACATTATTGTTTCTCCTCTATGCCCCGCCTTTCTGAAACGCGTCAATTTTTACAAAGTCTGAATCAGTCTCATCAGTCAAAGTCTCATCAGTCTGAAAAGCGAGGTGTTCTCTGATTGGCCAGCTATTCAGTGCGTTGTGATTGGCCGAATACCTCAAGCGTGAGTGGCGGGACGACCAAACGACAGACAGAGTGGGTGTGGCGTCAGGCCTCGGAGAGGCTTTTATTAACAAAATATAAACAAAGTGTCCAGGAAAAAGGGGAATCAAGTGTCCAAAATAAAACAGGGGATCTGGTGTCCTCATCGTGCTGCGGGGTTCATGCAGGGAAGGGCAGTGGTCAGGAAGGAGGGGTCCAGGTAAGGGGCGGAGTCCGGCGGCCGCACGCGCTCCCCTCTCTGGTTTCTTTCAGCGGCTTCGTCCTTCTCTCTGCCCACGGAGCTTGAAGGGACTAGACGGCCCGGCATCCTAGCCCGACGGCCGTGTAACGGGTGCGGTTCCCGTCAGGACCGCGGGTCCGGTAGCTCACGACTCTGGCGGCACGGGAGTTCCTCTACGCACCCTTCCTGGACCCACGAGGACACCAGCGTGCATGCACGGGGAAGAGACCGGTCCCCCGAGGAGAGGCGCGCTCGGCATTTAAACAGCGGCGGTGATGAGGCTCCATTCGGTTCAGGTGTGCCCCATCACACACCACCAGCCCTGGCTATTTCAGCACCCCTCCTCTCTCACGCACCCAATCATGTCGGGAGCCTGGAGAAGGGCGGCGATTAAGGGACGGGGTGATGCTGATAATTAGGGGGAGGCAGCCGACTCGTCACAGCACCAAGAGCTTGTAACACTCCAAAGAGAAAGGAAAAATTGAAATTGCATCATATGACCCCTTTAAATTCTTATTCTCCAATGAAAGGATAGATTTTTGTGAATGTTTTAAATAAAAGATCAAAAGGATTAACAATGCAGATTTATTTTCATAGCCTTCTTTGATCATATTTACCAAGGGTACCAACAATTCTGACCACGTGTGTATTTGAAAATCTTTTAGAGCTGTTGATTCAACTCACTTTATTTTCCTTTTATTTGAAATCAAAATAAACATAATTTTGAATTTTGAATTAGTCATGTAGGATATGCTGTGACTGATACCATGTGCGTTACAAGCTTGGGATGCTGTTTGAAAGTGTTTATGTGTGTGGTTTCCACAAAGAAATGTAGAAAACACAAAAGATTACAACACTGTAGAACATCACTGAATTAAATTAGCCTATACTTTACATATAAATCACATTTCTTTTTAATATACATTTAATGATTAACAATAAAGATTAAAAATAATGAAAAGATGCACATTACAAATAAGTTGAAGCACGTCCTAAACACAACATCCCCACTTATTAACTAACAATCATGTACAATACATCAAAGATGCACAAATAAAGATAGGCCTATAGGTGCAAACAGAATACAGTGACATCAACCTTGGTTTTAATAAGCAGTTCGATTATGACACGGAGCGCTATTGCGGTGGTGAAACTGTGATGAGTCATGCATCTAGCAAGAACTTAATGATAAACAAATTAATCATATTGATTCAAGCATTTAACATTTATGAATTAATTAAGTATTAATAATGAAAAATACTGCACAAATTATAGCGATCACGAAGAAGGTCCTTATTCTGTCCCAAACGCGTACAGTAAAGTGGATATACAGTATACAACACCATCAGTTATATTCAGGTGTATACTGCCACCTGTTGGCGCAGTTGTGTAACTTGGAGAACAACTTTCGTTATGTCGAGATCACGAGAAAATATTAAGGGGGTCATATGATGCGATTTCAAGTTTTCCTTTCTCTTTGGAGTGTTACAAGCT